AAACAGATCTGTCTCTGAAGAAGTACATCCAGAGTGCTCCTTAGCGGCAAGGAGGGCCAGACTTCATCTCACATACTTTGGACGTGCTGTCAGGAGAGGCCAGTCCCTGGACAAGGGCATCGCATTTGGTGAAGTAGAGGGACAAGGAGTCAGATGGACCCAGTGGCTGCAGCAATGGGCTCACGCACAGGAGCAATTGTGAAGTGGTCGCAGGACTGGGCAACATTTTGTTTTGTTGTGAGGGGGTCTCTGCGTGTCAGAATTGCCTGGGTGCACCTCTCACCACTGCCACCACCACCAACGGCCTACGCATGTGACAATTAAACGATGAACAAGAAAGACCAGCCGAAGAATCGATGTGTTTGAATTCTGCTGTTGGTGGAGAATATTGAAAGTAGCATGGATGGAGTCGCAATGAGTTGGAAATGACTCCATGGCACCTAACAAGGAGAAGTATAAAAATCTAACATTACCTAGGATGTTTTCTGAGTACATTAATTAATTGTTGTTGTGGACAACATGCCCAAAGTATTTGCGATAAAGCCTTGCGGCCCGTGCGTCTAAGGCGGATTCTGGCTGCACTTGCTCCGAGACAGATCTGTTGGTCCTTTCGGCAGTCCCTGGTACTCTCCATGTGCTTCGCCGGCACCACACTTCAGATGCATCCGGTCTCCTTCGGTCTTCCTTATTCAACGCCCAACCTTCACGTGCGTGGGAGGCCATTGAAGGCACCCTGGCTGGGGTCAGGGACTCCTTAGTCCTCAGAGTGACAGCCTTGCTTGTTGTCAACTCTCTAAAGAGGTCTTTGGCAGCAGATTTACCCAATGCCATGTGTCATGTGATCTCTTGACTGCGGCTTCCAGAATTGTTTGTGAATAACTTATTAGCATATTTCTATGTTAAATGTTCATCTCTCTTCTGGGATGTAAGTCCCTTGAGGATAAGGACTTGTTTAGAACTCTACCCAAGCCTGGGGCACAATAGGTTCTCCTGGAGTTTTCATCTCTCTTGGGAAGGTGATCTCTTTAGATGACAGAAGAGGGGCCACAAGGAGTTTGCTTGGTATAATGGTTATGCGTTGACCTGTTCACCAAAAGGTCAGCAGTTTGAAACCCCTAGCCATTTCTCAGGAGGACGACAGGGCTGTCTATTTCCTCAAGATAGACTCAGAAACCCACAGGGGCAGTTCTACCTTATCCTATAGCAGCAGTCCTCAACCTGTGGGTCGAGAGCCCTCTGGGGGGTCCAATAACCCTTTCACAGGGGTCGCCCAATTCATAACAGTGGCAAAGTGACAGTGATGAAGTAGCAACGAAAATAATTTGATGGTTGGGGGGTCACCACAACATGAGGAATTGTATTAAAGGGTTGCGGCATGAGGAAGGTGGAGAACCACTGTCCTATAGAGTCCCTATGAGTCGGCACAGGATCTATGGCAGTGAGTGTTTTGGGGAGTTTTAGTTGCCACGAGCCAGAATTGACCGCCAATCAAAGGGGAATATCTAACAGTCATGTCTAGAAAGGAGCCCTTTCTGTAGGAGCCTATTACAGGACCCCCAGTGGTGCAGCAGTTAAACAATTGTCTGTTAGCTGGGAGGTTGGCAGTTTGAATCTACCGGCCGCTCAATGACCTGGGGGGCTGTGGATGTAAAGATGGCAGCCTAGGCCACTATGAGCCAGGGTGGACTTGCTGGCAATGGGTTCATTTTAAATGTAGACACCTTATATTCTGTATCACATGGGGCTTATTTAAAAACAAACCAACACACTCACTACCATGGAATTGATTCCGACTCACAGCGACTCTTATGGGTTTCTGAGATGATAACTGTACAAAGGGGTGGACAGTAATCTTTCTGCAGCTCTTTGGACTTAGCGGTGTGTGTTTACAGTGGGCAGCAAATCAGTTTGGTTTGGCTTTATTTGCAAACAATTGCTGGACCTGAATTATAATCCTGGCCTGCCACCTAGTGACCAGTGGCCATCATAACACCACTGAGCTGTATGGTCAAACTGGATTTTCAGGTTTTCTTAGTAGCAGATCAGATAAATGATCACTTCTTGGACATCTCCCCAAAGTCCTTTCTCATTTTGATTTAAAGGCTCCCCATCGCCCTGTCTGTTCTTTACTGTCCAAGGTGTCGCGGTGAGTTATGTGCTGGGCTGTTAGCGGCAAGGTCAGCAGGCCGTCTGCTCCGGTAAAGATTTACAGCCTCGAAAACCCACAGGGGCAGTTTGTCTAGGGCCTCAAGTGTTAATGTCCGTTGAATAAATTAGTGCACACATGAATGAAAGGCTAGACCGTGTTTCTGGCTCTTGGGGAAATCCTCCTGAAGCGGTTGACTTGACCGCTGAGGTTTTGACTCAGTTCGTTCGGCCACCTGGCTGAAGGTCCTAGGCCTCTTGCTGTTTCAGTTTTATGGCTTGTAATGCTAGCATGCATTTAACAGAGTCGTTAGGGGGTTTCCGTGACTTAGCAACAAGGCTGGAGCCCAGCAGCAGAGATGCTCCGTATGGTAGGAGCGTTAGACTGTGATGTCTGCGTTGCTGTCACCGATGCAAAGTCTAGTCTCTCTGTGGTTAGACACGGGGAGCCACCCGGCACTAAGGCTCTGTGCCAGTGGCTCCCACGCCTTTAGCCATTTTGTCTTCCTGCCACCCCACTCCCACCCCCCACGGGCCCACTGATTCTAAGGTCAGGGCCCATCATCCTTGAAGACCACTGTAGAAAACAGGTCATTCACCCACTCAACAAAAGTCTACTGGGTCCTAGCATCTCAGCAAGGAGCCATGGGGACTCAGCGGTGCCCTGGTCACCTGCTAACCTGGTGACCTGCTTCCGTCAATATTACCCATAACAAAACCCAGGCCACTGCTGTGGAGTCTGTCCCAGCCCATAGTGAATCTCTCCAAGTTTCTGAGGCTGTAAGGAGGCAAACCGTCTCATCTTTTTCCCTCGGTGTGGCCGGTGGGCTTGACCTGCCAGCCTTGCTGTTGGCAGCCTGACAGTGTCACCAGGGCTCCTAGAAACCCCGGTGGAGCAGTTCTACTCTGTCCTATGGGGTCATTATGTGTCCAAACCTAAGCCAGCAGCACTTAACAACACCAGCATTCCAATATCCCAATGTCAAGTCCCAATATCCACTCCACAATTCCCCAACACTGGCGTGCACCAGAACACAGAGGTGCCAAGTAAAGCCTGACTCACAGCTGCAGGTGAAAGTTGGACACAGAATCAGGAAGACCTGTGAAGAAAGGATGCGTTTGAATGACAGCCCTGGTGAGAAATACTGAAAGCACCACGGCCTGCCAAGAGAGAACAAACACCTGTCTTGGAAGAAGTACAGGCAGAATGAGAGACTTTGTCTCACCTACTTTGTGCATGGGATCCGGAGAGACCAGTTCCCGGAGAAGGACACCATGCTTGGGAAAGTGGAGGGCAGCGGAAAAGAAGAAGGCCTTTGGCAAGATGGATGGACACAGGGGCTACAACAACGGGCCCAGAAGCACTGGGAGGATGGCGCTGAGCCAGAGGTCGCTGTGGGTCAGAACCAACTGGATGGCCCTAACCCCCAGCCAGGACAGGGATCTGGGTGGAAAGAGAGACACCAGATCACCCTCACCACAATCCCACGGCACTGAGGACTATAACTGTGTCCAACCTCCAGGGGAGACGCTGGTCAAGGGGAGCTGCTGAGCTAAGGGCTGGTCTGCACACTTGAGGCCAATGGTTCAAACCCACTGATCACTCTAAGAAAGAAGAGGTGGGACAGTTCTACTCCGTCCTAGGGGGGTGGAGGGGCAGGCCTTGGCATTGACTCTTTGCAAAGGGGTTGGAAGCTGTGGTCAGATGACTTGGGGTGGGGAGTGGTGGGAGTGATTTTTTTTTTCCCTTTTACCATCAAAGTTTCCAGACCAGAGCACACCAGAAGTAAGTGCTTGTTGAGTAACTGGATAAAGGAAGACATCATTGATTGACATTCCCCACGCGATCCCCTCAGTCCCTCCCCTCTCCAGTCCCCTGGTGAAGGATGACAGGGCATTTCCCTATGTTTTCTTAACTCCTGGCAGGAAACAAGGTCCACTGCTCCAGTCCATTGCCCCTTTAAACTCACCTCCGAACACCTCCGTAACTGGTGCGCCCTGTTCCTGCTTGCTCAGCAGGCTCTGGTCTCCTATGCAAGGTAGACCTGCCCCCTGTGGGCTTCTGAGACTCTCTAGGTGTTTATGGGGGGCGAGAGTCTTCTCTTTCTCCTAAGGAGCGATTGGTGGTTTTGAACTGCCGACCCTGTGGCTAGCAACCCATGCGTAACCATAGATGGCACTGCCCCTGGGGCTCCTCGCGACTCTTCCTAGATGCACCTCGGATGCGTGGAAACGACGTCCTTCCTGCCACTGTAGATGTCCGTCTGGCATCTTGCAGTCGTTCGGGAGGGGTGAGGTTCCATCCATCCCAGGACAGAAATCGACCTGTGGACTCCGGTGCCTCCGCATGCGTCAGAGGACGGCTGTGCCTCCGGCAGCGGGCACTTGCAGAGCCAACTGCCAGGCCTTTCTCCTGATGCCTTGGGGCAGACTTGTGCCACCGAGCACAGAGGGCACCCCTCAGGGGCCTCCCACAGGACAGAAGGAAGCCACAATCCCTTCTCCCTGCTCCGCATGGCTCTGTGGGAACCCTCTTCACAAGGGCAGCCCCGCCCCTGCCTGCCAGCTACAGGGCGGCAGACTCAGTCTACCCCCTCCATCCCCCCACCTCCAGTAAAGATTTACAGCCTCGAAACCCACCCCCCCTGGGGGGGGCAATCCTTCAGGGTCTGGTCTAGTCAGAATGACCTGTGGCTGCCTGTCTGTCCTGTCTTTGGGAAGGTCGGGCCTCAGGTTCGTGTGAAAGTCAGGGGTAAGTGGGAGAGGAAACATTCTGGAAAGATCTGAGCTCTCCCCCCAGCTGCCATTTCTCCGCGGGACCCTCCCGCTCCTGCCCGCCCGCAGGAAAGCCTTACCCTCCTGGGGCAGCGCGTCCAGAAACGCACAGAAGCGCGCCTCCAGGTCGCCAGGGTCCGCGAAAGGGCGCTGAGACCAGACGGCCGCAGCGACCAGGGGACAGCGCTCAATGACGTTCCCAAACACGTCCACAAAGTCGCCGAAATCCATGGCGTTGACCTGCTCCATGTCCATGGCTCGGCCTGGCCTCCAGCAGCGCCACTCCCGCGAGGCCAGTGAGTCCACTGTGGCCGTCAGTCTCGTCCTCTGAGGCCAGCCCGCTTGCGCAAGGAGCAAACACAGGCTTAAGGGTCGGCCCAGGGGTTGCGGCCTCCCGGGGTCAACGATCCGCTCTGGCGCCATTAGAAAACCGGTCCCGGTTTAGGGCAGCGGCTGACTCTCCGCCAATTCTGAGCCAGGCATGCCTTCTGGCCAGGCGGACTTTTGCATCCCTCTGGGTGCTGGCCTGGTGAGTTGCTAACCTTAAGGTCAAGTGTTTGAGCCCGCCAGCCTTCCAAAGGAGGAAGATGAGCTTCTCTGTTCCTGTGAAGGTTTAAAGCTGCCCAAACTCTACTCTGTTCCCCAGGGCTGCTAGAGGGTTTGTGGTGTGTTTGGAGAGGGGGGGAAGGAGGGAGGAGGGGGCGTGGAGTTTCCCCCACTGATTTAAAGGAAGTTCACACAGCTGAACCCACTTGGAACTAGGCTTCTAGCTGCTGCTGCTACCTAGCGTGTGTGACCAGTCTTCCTCTCTGAAAGTCCAGCCTTCCCTTTCTTTGACTTCAAACCCAACCCAACCAAACCCATTTCTAAGGTGCTGGCTAGGACTCCAGCTTCCTTGGGCGAGTCAGAGTGGGACCTGGCTCCACAGGGTTCCCAAGGGCTGGTTTCTCAGAAGCAGACAGGCAAGCCTTTACTCCTGAGTCACCTCTGAGTGGACCACCCACCTGTCAATGAGTCCACCCAGGTAGGAACTAGGTTTTCCTCTTTCTTTGTCTTCCCCCTACCTAAAGCGACCAGATTTAAAGCGGGACACCATTGACCGGGGGTGAGGGGTGGGGTGGGGTGGGTTCTTGATTAAAAATGTGGTCTATATGGACCAAATAGGCCGTTCCCCAGCTTGTGCATTCTTTCCAAAAATCGGGACTTCTTAAAAATCAAAAGTCAGGGCTGTCCCGCCAAAAGCAGGACGTCTGATCACCTTACCCCCATCCCCACCCCAGAACTTCACACAAATTAAAACAACAACAACAAAACTGAACCATCGATTCCAACTCTATGACTCCTATGGGAAGGAGAACTACCCTGCGGATTTCTGAGATGGTCCATCTTTACAGGAGCAGACACCCTCCTCTTTCTCCCAAAGATCAGCTGGTGGGTTTGAACCCCCGACCTTGTGATTAGCAGCTTAACTCCAAACCCTCTGAGCCACCAGGGCTTGCTCCTCTGAGTGTCCAAATGCAGCCAGCCCCCTGGCATGTCTGTGCTTCATCTCTCCATTTGGGTCCGCCACATTGTTTCTTTTCTTTCAGCTGCTAATGACCCAGAACTTACCGCAGGGAGGCAATTCTGACTCACGGTCAGGGTGAAGAAATCTAGTGACGCACTGCATTGAGCAAACCTGCCACACAAGACCTCTTTACAGTGTTGAAAAGCAAGGATGTTCTTCTGAAGCTAAAGGACCCCTGGTCCAGGCCAATCAGCTCAGTGTGCAGGTGAGAGCTGGCCTTGAATGACAAGAGAAGAACCGATGGGTTTGAACGCTGACAGTCCTCGGGTGGATTGCCAGAATCATGGGTCTCAGATGAAGTACAGCCAGAATGCTCCTTAGAGGCAAGGATGGCAAGATTTCTTCTCAGGTACTTTGGATGTGTTATCAGGAGAGAACAACAACAGCAGAAAAAAACAAAACAAAACCCAAGCTCCCTGCTTTTGAGTGCATCCAACTCGTAGGACAAGGTGGAACTGCCTGGGGGCGGGGCCGGAAACCGTAACTCTTAATGGTTTCAAGCTGCTAAGCTCTAGGAGAGACCAGTCCTCCCTGGAAAAAGACTTCCTGCTTGGTAAAGTAGAGGGGTTTTAGATTGATCCTTGTGATCCATTTCCCCTTTCTCCCCCACCCTCCCCTAATCCTCTTGATAAGATTCTTATTCTTATTCTTTAAGGGAGCAGACAGCCTCGTGTTTCTCCTGAAGTGTAGCTGGTGCTTTCCACCCCCTACCTTGTGAGCTGCCCCATGCTTCACCAAAACGTAAGAAGTTATGCAAAGTGGTTACGAGTTGGGCTGCTGACCACAGAGCCAGCAGTTCAAACCCACCAGCTGTCCTCAGGACAAAGATGGGGACATCTGCTCCCGCAAAGGGTTATGGTCTCCAATGCCCACAGAGGCAATTCCGTTCTGTCCTGCAGAGCTCCCGTGAGTTGGAAAGGACTTGATGGTAGTGAGCAGCTACGAAAGGAATATTTGCCAAAACGGAAACAAAGTGCTAGAACTAAGCCCCCAGATTCATGTTGCTAGATTTGTTCATCCCGATAAATGGGGAAAAGGCGGAAGTTGTCGAAGATTTTGTCTTGCTTGGATCCACAAACGACTCTCATGAGATCCAAAGACGGGTTGCGTTGAGAAAATCTGTGGCACGAGATCTCTTCGGAGTGTTGAAAAGCAGGGATGCTACTTTGAGGACTAAGGCGCGCCACGGGATCGTCAATCACCCCATGTGCATGTGAAAATTGGACACTGCGAACAAGGAGAACCTTAAGCAGCATCGATGTCTTTGAGTGATGGCGCTGGCACAGAATACTGACAGTACCACGGACTGCTAAAAGAACAAACGTCTGTCTTGGAAGAAGTATAGGTGGCGAGACTTTGCCTCACGTACGTTGGACACATCAGGAGAGACCAGTTCCCGGAGAAGAACTTTACGCTTGGAAAGGTTGAGGGGAAGGTAATGAGACCAAAGACTCTCACTGAGATGCCTTGACACAGGTTGAAGCAAAGCCACCTTTGGGAGGATGGAGCAGGAAATGAAAAACCACAGTGTTCTGGCTCCCCCTAGTGGCACCATCAGTAGGAAGCTCCTGGTAAAGGGGCTGCCCCAGCAGATAGAGTAACAAGTTTGTGCAACTGTTCTGATACAATGTCAACAATATAAGCTGACCTTCAGGGACACAACCTGACCCAAACTGTCTCCACGTCTGTTGGTAAGAATTGAGTTTAAACGTAAGGGTTGGGCTGCTGTGTGAACAGTTTAATTAGGCTGTCTGCTTCCAGAAAGATTAACCAAGCCTGGGAATCCCTGATCGGGTTGCTAGGAGTCCATCGGACTCCGTGGCTGAGGGCTTGGATTTGGTTTAAATAGCTCTATTGTGGAAGAAAGGCCTGGTGACTGCTTCCATACTGATGATCAAAACGCAAACGAGACCCCACTGTCACCATCTCGTCTCTGATGCCCAGCGATCCTGCAGGGCCCAGTAGAACGGCTCTGGACGGTTTCTGACGTCGTCAATCTTTTGGGGAACAGCCAGCCATATCTTTCTCCCCGCCGGTGTGTTCACACTGCCAGCCTTGCGGTTAGGAGCCCAGTGGGTAACCCAGTGTGCTACCAGGGTTCAAGAAAACGGATAGGGCAAGTCTACCCTAGGCCGCAGGGGTCACTGGGAGCGGAATCCACTCAGGGACAAAGGTTTGGGATGAACTCACTGCCATCGAGTCGGTTCTGACTCCTAGCGACCCTACAGCATGGGGTGGAACTGCCCCTGCCGGATTCTGAGATGGTAACTCTTTACGGGAGTAGAAAGTCCCAGCTTTCTCCCTGGGAGTGGCTGGTAGTCTTGAACCACTAACCTTGCGGTTAGCAGCCCAATGGCTAACCACGACACTGGCAGGACTCCTTGATTGGGAAGAAGAGGGTTTCAAATGCTATCATTCCACAGGAAACATGATCCTTTTGGCATCATCCTGGGCACGGGTGGGAGAACATAAGGAAAGCGGACAACTGTGAGCCAACCGGGCCCCCTAGAAATGTGTCCCAGGGTCCACCTCCCAAGATGAATGCAGTGGGGTCCCTGCCAAGCAGTCACACAGGAAACGAAGGCACTTCAGCGTGGGGACACCTTGAATGTGGATTAAAAAACAAACACACCCTAAACAGTAAATAAGACAAGATCTGGATGCTGACGGAGCATGAGCCTCTTTGATAAAGTGCAGGGACAAGAGAAGAGCCATGTTTGAGGCGCTGCACCCCTCTCTACCATTCTGGTCCCCTCCAGGGCGGCTCCCGGCAGAAAGGCTGAGAGACGGTGCTTTGTCCACATTGACAGCGAGCTGCTGAGCCTGTGCGTGTCCTGACCAAAGCCACTTTGGTAGAAAGGAAAGGAGACTAGTTCTACCTACGCTGACTCTCTTTCATTTTCTTCTTTATGCTGCTCAAGAACAGGGCAGCCTAGAAACACCAGAGGCTGTCCTCTGGTCACCCAGAGGCAGTGTGAATCGAACACCAACCTGACAGCCCACAAGGACAACATTGGTGACAAACGTCTTTCTGACCAGCTGTTCAAGGGGACCGGTCCACGCTGCTCCTTCCTCCAGTCTTAGATCACAGAAGACTTATGAGAAAGGGAATAAAGCCATATAGATCCACTGGAAACCGGGCCAAAACGGAGAGGGCTTTTCTAGAGAACTTAAAGCTGACGGAATGAAATGCGTAGTGAATTTCCCTTCCCCCTCCCCGG